CTGGGGCTGATGGCTCTGTTGCACTTTTAGGCTTAGACATCTAAATGCCATCAGATTAATCCAACTACTTGCTTGTAATTACAGTTTTAAGGACATTCTTGTTGCTACATTCTTATTTTCAAGGAAGAAGGGAAGCAGTGAACTTTCATCACCATTTTCTTGAAGAGACAGGGACCATAAATGCCTGATAAATACCTGACACTCTCAGCTCTTCCTACTCCATCTGAATTCACTTGGGATTCTCCAAACAAAATGTGTTAATTGGACCTCCAGACAACCTTATCTGGTCAGTTCATAACATATCAAAATTGTAAAGTATATAAAGCTCTATAAAGATTAAGGTAGCAATTGTATGTGGTTTTTCTTCCCATTTCATAAATATGTGTATGTTTTAAAAATAGTTGCTATTTAGGGATAATGTGTCTTTACTGTGATGTTTGGGATGATTTCATATAGGACATCACAAGTCAACTTTAGCAATACTCACAGCCTGTACTTGGAGCTGCAGGTCATTTTTTTCCTGCACCAGGGCCACCATCTTCTCCTCCAGCTCCTTCCTCTTTGCCTCAGACTTTGCAAGCTCCTCCTTGGTTTTCTCAAACTCTTCCTTCATGTTGGCCATTTCTTTCTCAGACTCTGCACTCTTCAGCAAGGGCTTGATCTTGAAGAACAGCTTCATCCATGGCCAGTGTTTGACATTCATGAATGAGCGAACATTGTACTGGATGCAGAAGATTGACTCCCTGAAAAGTAATAACAAAATATATTTTGGTAAATATTTAAAGGTCTATAAAATGTATTTGACAGTATATATTAGTATGTATATCAGGAAGTTTGACACATAATACTTTTTAGTTATATATATATGTAAATATATATATATATATATATATAATATGTGTATAGTATATATGTATCATATATAGTTCTTTATATCTCTATGTATAAAATATTTATCATGTATTATTCCATATACATTTTTAATAATATTTAGATCACATTTTATATACTATATATATAGATTTCCACTGAAAATCTTCTCGTTTTATGTAGAGTATCAACCAGTATGGATGGTTTTGGAGTCCAAGTGTTTGGCTCATTTTTATGGCCAATGACAAGGAACACTTCTGTAATATGACTCAGTCACTTCTATGAAATTTATCAAAGGGAAGAGGATGCTTCTCTTATGATAGAAATATGTCCTTCTCTCATTTTCTTTAGCAGTGACCTACAATATTTAGCTTAGACTCGATATTGCTTTGTTTGACATACGTATAATAGAGCCATTTAAAAACTTCAGCAACAAAGTATTAAAAAAATTGTTTCCCCAAGCTGGGATTTTATACTACTTCCTCTGTTTTCAGGATATACTTTCATATTGACAAACTGAATTAATGAGAAATAAATGAGATTATTTGTGAAGCAGCTTATTTTCAGTTTTGTTCATGCCATTAGTATCTAATAAGGATTGGCCCAGCAAGCCAAGTCAATATCTACCTCCTCTCCATCATTTTCTTGAACTCCACCCTCATCAGGTAACCCCTGCACATGGCCTGGGTGCGGGTGATGAGCTCTGCCAGCTTCTCATCCCTCATCTCCTCCAGGAGCCCCAGCAGCCCAGCTTTGAAGAACACCTTGAGAGAGGGAATATTGCAGCACATCGCTATTAGGTAGAGAGAGCAAAGCCCAGGCAGGCGTGAATGGGGGAGTTTCTACCTTGGTGTGTCCAAATTTGTACTGGGTGTGATCCACATCGATTGACCCAAGGAGCTTCTCAGAAGCCTTCTTGCTATCGATGAACTGTCCCTCAGGGATGGCACTGGCATTAAGCACCTTGTATCTGTGGAATCAGAGGACGATAAGGAATAAATAATAGCCCTTTGAAAATGTCTGTTTTTTTTTCTCAATATCTACAGAAAGAACCTGGATGATTCCCTTGGGCAAATGACTTTTGTATACCTAAAGATAACTTCCACAGTACTTTAAACATTTAGGAAAATCAAATGATTCAGCATTTTTAGATATGGTGGAGGGTGATGAAATATAATCTGACCTCTGTTTGAAGTCAGCATAGAGGATTCTGCTGGGGAACCCTTTTCTGCAGATCCTGATCCCTTCCAGCACGCCATTACAGCGCAGCTGGTGCAGCACTAGCTCGTGCTCCATGGCACCTAATAAATCACAGAATGAAATTGTGTATCATTTTACTGAACAGAGAAGATCAGATATATCACACCTCTGAACTTTAACAACTTACCAGGTGTTTTTGTTTCATTAGGAATAAGGCACCGCACAAAATGGGGATGTGTGCTTCTCAAATTGCTCATCAGCTTGTTTAAATTTTCCTTAGGAGCAAGAACAAAGCCTTGGGTTTAGAAGTGTCACTTACACAATCTCAATACTAGGTGGAAATAAAAACACTGCAATAAAAACATGATCAATATTTTTTTTACAGAACTTTTGGGCAGTTCTGAAAGAATACTTCCCAAGATTCAGTAAGAATCCCTCTTTACTAGAAGCAAGTTTTTTTATCCTTTCTGAACACGAAGATATATTAGATAAATCTAAAGCATTTCTGAATGGAATGTTTTGATTTTTTTTTAATGAAAAGAATGTGGTAAGTTTAGAATGATTATTATACAATACCCGGAAGAGAGCTGAGACAGTCTGGAAGGAAGAACCCTTCTTCTTGGCGCCCTTCTTGCCACCACCACCACTGCTCTCTAAAAAGTAATAAATTTTTTATAAAGAAGTGAACAACTTCTGAAAAAAGCACACAATCTGAAAAACCTTTATCTTTAAAACTCTATCAAAAATAATAATATGATCAAAAATTGCAAACTCAGACTGTGGTTAAAGTTACAAAAAGATACTTGAACTTTTCAAATGACTGTGGAAGGAAATCTAATGACTTCAAGTGAAATTTAGAAAATGCATTTGGGAAACAAAACATAACATTTTACATAGAAAGATATTTGAGGTAATAAACGAATAACTAGTAATTACACCAAATGCAGTGTTTATGTAGCCTTACATCTAAGGGTATGCATAAATTTAACAGCATGTTCATAAATTTGATTGTATTCACTGAATTATTTGAGAATGGTCCATATTGCAGAAATCTGATTTCTCAGCTGGACTGGGTTAATGTGCTAGTACAGCTGTCTCATTCTAAAACCTACAGATCTATTAAGGTGTCTAGGGAGTAGTAATATCCTTTATTAGACTAGATTATGAGGTTTTGGGTTTTCAATTTTAGAAATGTAAATATCATTGCGAAATATTATTACAACATTTTAATTTCGTTTTCTGTAAATTCTAGTAGAACTGATTTCAAAGAAATCACCTGCTTCTGCCCCACCAGCAGATGCAAAGAGCAAGGCCAGGGTCTTCAGGGATGACTTCTGATACAGCCCCACAACAGTTTCATTCAGGGGGTCCTTGTTCTTCTCCAGCCACCCTGTGATGTTGTAGTCCACTGTGCCAGCATAGTGCACCAGGGAGAAGTGGGCCTCAGCCTTGCCTTTGGCTGGCTTGGGCTTCTGGAAGTTGTTGGATTTGCCCAGGTGCTGGTCATAGAGCTTGTTCTTGAAAGAGGTGTCAGTTGCCTTGGGGAACATGCACTCCTCTTCCAGGATGGAGAAAATGCCCATGGGCTAGGAGGAATAGCAACATGTGAAGAAAGTGTGGAAGGAAGAAACAGAGGCAATGTATGTAAGAAGGAGGAATGGAAGATGCAAATTACACAAAAAAATCCTCCTCAGTATGTGTAATCTTATGTTTCTCCAGAAAGTGCAGTTTGTTAGTGGCTATCCCATCAGTTATACTAAAACAAGCTCCCCTATAAGATTCAGGGTTGGGATGTAATAAAGATCTAGCATGTAGAAAATAATTTTGTACTTGTTTGGTGAAAGTGGAAAGCAAAATGAATAAAAGTAGTAGCATTCAGATACAAGGAAGAGTTTAAATTTCCTATATTCTCTTTCTTTAAAACGAGACAGAAAATTTCTCAAGAAACGTTAAAATAGAGATTTTATAACAGAAAAGCTATTAAGTATGTGGGGGTCAATAACCTTCTCAATGAGCTCAATGCAGGCAGCCAGGTCCATGCCAAAGTCAATGAATTCCCATTCAATGCCCTCCTTCTTGTACTCCTCCTGCTCCAGCACGAACATGTGGTGGTTGAAAAACTGTTGCAGTTTCTCATTGGTGAAGTTGATGCACAGCTGCTCCAGGCTATTGAACTGCAGAAGGCAAAGATTTCCTTTCTTATGAATTTCAGTTCCAATTTCAGTTCACTTCTGTCTTCCAATAGGCTTTATTCTTATCCCGCTAATGTCTCCATGACTGGAATCTTGAATGTCAAGTGCTGGGACTGGACAGGCTATTGGCATATTGCATTCTTTAATAAATCTAACCCCTTAGGCCCTGGCACTGTCTCAACATATTTCTGAGCTCTGAATCGGTCTGCAGAGCGTAGTCCAAGTCCAGTTTTTAATTTCAATTTCTGTGCATTACCTCTCTATTCCCAAGTATTCAGAGGGAATCTGCCTTCAGTATTAACAAATTCTTCCTTTAAAAAGGCATATTTTAACTCCCTCAAAGCCTCTCTCTGTTATTATTTATCAATTGTTCAGCAGTTTTCAATGTAATTCTCACTTCTGTATGCAACAGCAAACATCTACAAATAAATACAGCCCTGTACATGCAATGAGAACCAGAAGGGTACTGCTCCTAGATGAAAGACAGGATTATCCAATAAATAGAAATAATCCATAACTGAAATGATGCACATCCCAACCCCCAAATTATTCCAATTTCCTAATGCCTCTTCCAGGAAAGCTTTATGGAGATTGTCCTCTTACATCGAAGATCTCAAAGCCAGCAATGTCCAGGACACCAATGAAGTACTGCCTGGGCTGCTTCGTGTCCAGCTGTTGGTTGATACGAACAACCATCCACAGGAACATCTTCTCAAACACAGATTTAGCCAGGGCACCCACTGAGTTGTATACCTAAGAAAAGATTAAATGAAAGCCACCATATGCAGCAGAAGAGCAAAATTTTTAATTCAAGTAATTTTTTTTTCTATTTTCACTTGTCTCTTACCTGCTGCACAGTTTGGCCCTTGGTCACGTATTCGTTCCCCACCTTGACTCGGGGGTAGCAGAGGGCCTTGAGCAGGTCTGCTGAGTTCAGACCCATCAGGTACGCAGCCTTGTCAGCAACTAAGAAAACAAGCATAGAGCAGGATCAGATATTAGCTCTCTAGTGAAAGGGTCTTACAGTAATTCAGATTTCTACAGGAGCCTCATATACGTTATCATGTCTTTTAAAATATTTTAGTTTTTCTTGACTTGCTAATTTTTTCTGATTTGATCTATATGATTAATAAAGGTAAATATTATTTCAATACTTCTACAGGGAACATGCAAGAGACTAGACAGATAAAAGGACCAAGGGCCATGAAAATGGCAGATCAAACAGTCGCGATTTCTGAATAAACAGAATAGGAAAGTGGTTGATATTCAAGTACACTGCACTGAAAATTGTAGCCAGTGAAACTCTCCTGTCATTGGAGAGACAGAGGTGGATTAGTGAGGCATAATGCCAAAAGTATGAATAGGATATCCTGTGCAACTTCCATAGTGGAATTATATTGTCCCTAAGGATAAATATCAAACACATTAAGTCTTCCCCAGCTCCTATTTGATCTGCACCTAGGTTAACAAACACAAGCACCACAGCACAGCATATACTCTGTCATCACTTTCCAATTTACTGCCTGTCTTGTCCCACAGTGAAGCTGATAGCAAACACCAGTACTATTTACAGAGTTCTTCAATGTGAGAAGGCCAAAACTCATTATGTAAGATTTATACACAGATGCTAATTTTGAGCTGCTTTTATGTGTTATTTCCAACAAGACATTTAAGGCACATTCATAACTAGAAAGATGAAACAAGAAAAAAATTTCAGTTTTGTAGATATATATGTAAGTATATGGACACTGTGGTTGTATATAGGCTACTCTGCTGTAATTATATATTTATTCATTAGTACTTGAGAGCTGTTCCAGGTTCTACGCCAAGTCTGGGAAGCTTCCATTCAAGGCAGCGGCAAAGTTTGCTTTACTGTTGCCTGACTCCTACTCTGACAGAAGACAGAAGCATGCTTTAGGAGTCACTAGACATAATTTTTACTTTGTTCAAAATATTCACAGGTTCCACTGAGTCGTATTCCTCCAGAGAAGTCCTCTAGCTATTCTACAGTACTGGCACTGGGGAAATTCACAGGCTGAGTCAATCATTCTGACCCTCACATGCTGCCTTCAACTCAGTGAGTGTTCACTATCTCCTGTGCTCTGGGATGGGTTGTACTGGTACCTTCGGTGCCATCAGGCTCTGCCTGCTCCTCTCGTTGCTTCTGCTTGAACTTCAGGTTCCCATAGTGCATGACAGCCCCTGTCAGCTTGTAGATGGCTGTTTTCTCATCAGCACTGAAGCCCA